GGCGATCACCAAAGGCTTGTCTTCCCTCTTCGCCTCCTCTTCCTCCCGGCTCATACCTCTCCTCTACCTCAAAGCCCCCCCTGCTCCCTTCTCATTCAACCTCCGGCGCGGCTTCTCCTTTACCGCCACCCCTTACCCCCTCTACTACGAGCTCGTACGCTACCGGCCGGCGCGCCGCCGACGCCCAAACGCCCATGAGGGCCCCGACCACTTGCCCTCCACTTCTCCAGACGACGCCGCTGGGTCCGCCGCCCCGGAGAGGCCCGCGATGGACCGCTCCAAGCGGCGGTACTACCGCAAGCGGCAGCGCCGGATGTACGGCGGATCTGACTCTGAAGACGACGGCCGCGGCGGCGCGGATGACGGGTTCGTCGAACTCAAGCCGGAAGTCATTGACTTCCCGCGCCTCCACGCCCGCGAGGAGGAGCTCTACTTCTACGACGCGTTAGCCTATCCCTGGGAGAAGGAGAAGCACTACCGCATGGTGTACCAGCTTGAGAAGAAATATTTCCCCCAGTATTCCCTTGATAAAGCCTTCATCGACCCCAGTGCGGAGCCGGTGCCGTCGGCATCGTCTGAGGAAGGAGCAGAAAAGAAGGGGAGGAAGTCAGGGAAGTCAAAGAAGGAGAAGGATGACCGTGAGGAGAGGGACGAGAGAGCTTTGATCTTCTTTGAGGAAACAGAGGAGCAGAAGGAGAAACCTGCTGCTCGTGGTGTTACGGAGAAGAAAGTGGAGGAGTTCTTCAAGTGTTACAGCAAAGTCCCAAAAGCCGGTGACAGGCAGAAGGCTGTTGCTACCACTGACACGAAGGACCAAGGAGAGCCGCATCTAGTGAGCAGAAAGACTGAGTTTCCTCCAAGATGGGATGGGCCATCAGGGACGGTCGTTCTTGTGGACAAACCTAAAGGTTCGTTTCACTGTCTTGTCAATTATTTGCTTTAAGTTTGTTACTTCATAGGTCTTATTTTCAGTGATGTTCTTGATTACTAATCTGGTGTGATGATCACAAATTAGAATTGATAAACCAAAATTGATATCCAATAATGTGTTAAGTAATTATTGTCAGTGGCATTAACATATGCAATCATGTCATATTTCACCAAGTGAACTGCTGCTAATTGCAAGTAGCCAGCAAAAGTGGAAGAGAATAGTGTCATCTGAAGGACATAGAAACATAAGCAATGAAATAATAATGCCACTCTTAATTATTAAAAGAAGAATAGTATCCCTGCCAACTATAACTTAGGATCATCAGAATCATTCTCTGGAGAAAAAAATTCTACGAAATACAATGATGCAACCTTTTCTTATGGGACTTTTTGGAGTTTATCCACATTGTAGTTGCATAATCTTCTCTCTTATAAACTTTCTTCATGGAGTTGTTTGTAACTAGCATGCAATAGGCTATAGAATATCTAACTTGTGGTTCATGTGCAAAATTCCCTCACTTAGAAAAGAGAAGATGAACATGTGGTCACAAGAGATTCTTCCAAGATTCTCCAGTAATTTGTACAGTTGACACTCCTTTATTTCTTTAGTAAATAATAGAATAAAATATTAGGTAAACTTAAATAATGTTGATGGTACCATTGAAAGAAAGTACTTTGCCAAATTTAGTGATCCAATGGTGCACATGAATTTTATTCGATTGGCATTTTTGTTATACCGCATTCATGTTTTTGTTGTTTTCACTAATGGTATGAAAGCTAAATTGTACATAAGACAGGATGGACCTCATTTACTGTTTGTGGAAAGCTGCGACGCTTAGTCAAAGTGCAAAAGGTAACTTAAATTGTTTTCTAACATGCATGTTTTTCTCAATGGTGACTCTGGTGAATGCTGATTCTAAAATCTTATTATTAAAGGTTGGGCATGCTGGTACTCTTGACCCTATGGCCACAGGATTGTTAATTGTTTGTGTCGGTAAAGCCACCAAATTGGCCGAGAGGTACACAAAATCTAACTCAGTTCACAAAATCTAATTCTAAATCTTGTTTCAATTTTATACTGTCAGTAAATGTGCTCTGATCTAGCCAAACTTATTATTTTGTTCCATTATTTAGTCTCAAGAGTTTTATTTTGGATGTATCTAGTTAATTAGCTAGTAAATTTGTCATAGTACAACTATTGCCAAAAAAAGTGAGCTACGAAAATATGTTTTTCGGAAGTTTCATGCCATTTTACAGGAAACTTCCTTTGAGAAATGTGAAGTACAGGATTTTGAGCATTTTTTAAATAAATAAGACCAGACTTTCAAATCACATAACCGGTTTTATAAATGATTGGTCCAGAATGATTTAGCCCTGTGTCTAGATGTCTTAAACACAAGAGGTTTTTGTCTAGTTTTATTCTTGACTCCTTTAGCTGTTGGTACTAACCCTTGTGATATTGTTAAGGAGCCATCGAATCTGCCGAAGGGAGGTTGGAGTCACTGGATAGAAGAGAATTTTCTGTACACTATCCATGTTCAGATTTTAAATGAAACATTCTTTCCTCATAAAAGGAGTCCTTTGTTTTGCATAACTAGCTCAATTGGAGGTGGCTCAATTATAAGGAGCCTAATAATCTGAGTCAGCTAATGGCACCAAGGAGAAAGTGCTCCCAGATTCACTTGATCTATTCTTTTTTATTTTTCCCTTTTTTCATTCATAATACTATAGTTAGCCGATAAGCTGTTGGATTTGTGAATACTACATTTCTTTGTTCCCTTTTAGAATGTGCCTAGCTATCTGTGCTTCTGTGGATGCTATTTTTTCTTTTGTTTTTTCCTTTTGGAGCCTCTGTTGGCATGACCACTTGGCATCCCATGCTTGCGACATGTTGTGTTATATTTTTCAAACGTAAATGAGCACCTTTGTCCATATTACTGATATTTTGCTTGTATTGATATATGCAGATATCAAGGTATGATCAAAGGATATAGTGGTGTTTTTAGGCTCGGAGAGGCTACATCAACTTGGGATGCTGATTCACCGGTAACATTCTCTTTAGTTTAGTATAGTCGCAATTTGCCATCTCACACGGTTTGGTTCACAGTGGAAGATATTTGAAGAAAGATTAGATTTCTTGCTCCCATTCAACTTCTTGATGCCAATAATTTGAAAATATTGTTTGTGTGACAAGAAATTTTATTTGTATGTTATATCAAAGGTTGATTCTAGAGGTTTCCGTTTCATGCTCATTTTGGCGGCATTGTCATTACTATAAAAAATTTACTGTCAGAAGTTTGGATATTTACTATGCTTTACCCTTGTGTTTCTATATCAAATGAGTCCTTCCTCCAATTCTTTTTTCTCGTGGCAGAGTTGTTGATATATGGTTAAGTTCTCTATTTTTCTGTCTTCTCTTTTAATCATCATTTTAGTTGAGCTCAGTTCAAGATTTACATCTAGACAATGATGTATGTTGATTACAAAAGATCCTGATACATTGTGCGAGAGCTGTCAGTTTGCAGGAATTGAATGTTGACCTTTTGGATTTCAATCAATGGCTTGGTTGTGGACTAAGATTGAATCAGTCGAGAGATATCTTTAGGAAGAAATTGATCCATTAGAAGGGAGTTAGCATAAATAAAATATCTAAGGTTTATTTTCCAGAAAAACAGTCATAAGTAGAGCAAAAAGGGAGCCTACTGGTGCTAGAAGTTACTACAGAGATACTGCATATGACTATACAGTAATTCACATTATACAGTATAACTGAAATATACTTTGAATGAAGCTTTATTGATGATAAAATAATTGGTTTTTTGGTATTGATTGGATATGTTTGCGGCAAAGATGATAATTGTGAGAACACATCAGACTGCTGAAGGCTCACAAGGAATGAAATTTGTAGTAAGAAAGGAAAGCATTTAGATATTAGAAGATATCTTTTTGCCTTTTAGGTTTGTTAGAAGTTCTCTAATCTATCGAAACATCTTGAATTGTATTTTTGTTTATTGCATATTTATGCTTCTTTAGTTTGATGCTTTTTAACTTTATGTTGGCAATCCGGTTTTGAGGAATTGAATGCCGGGTTTTTTGTGCAAGTCATTTTATGCAGGCTTTCACAAAATCACAAGTCTTTTTTATTCTTTCGTTGATAATTTTTATCATATTGACTAGGTCATTCAACGAGAACCATGGGAACACATCAAAGATGAGGATATAAAAAAGGTTGCTGCATCATTCTTGGGAGAGATATTGCAAGTTCCGCCAATGTTTTCTGCAATCAAGGTTAGTGATGGTTTTTCACTTTTGAAAATGCATTTGTTTTTTTTTATCTTTCATGTTTAGCTCTTTCACATATTCACTTGTAAATGTATAATTAAAACTTACAACTACTAAAGGTTATCATCTGGGAGATCTGTCTTTTGTGTTCCTGAGATTCACCGTGGGGGGAAGGCTTGATAGATCAAGGCTGTGTGAGGAAGAAATGGGATAGATCTGGTTAACCACTAGTTCTAGAAATCCTAGAGAACTTTGAACACTAATATAACAGCTCTAGTTGTCAATATTTTAGAAGAATAGACAATATGAAGGAGGACAGCCTCCCAAATTAGGACAAATTGTGAAATTAGGATGAATTGTGTTTTATGTTCTTTTCCTTTTCAATCTCTGTAATAGTGCATTATGTTACAGAAAGAACAGACTGGGACATCCAAACCAAGGTCAGTGATTTAAAAAGGCGCTCGAGCACTCGCCTAGGCGCTCGGGCGAGGCGAGATGAGGCCCGAACACCTCGCTTCATTTCCAGGCGGCGCGCTTCAAAGAGGCGCTCGCCTAATAGCATATTTTTATTTAAAATTTTAAATAATTATATTTATTAATTATATTATATATTTTTTTTATATTTTAGCGCCTTACTTCGCTCGAGCGAGCGTCTAGTGCCTTGGGCGTTTTTGGATCGTGGCGCCTAGCGCTTTTTAAATCACTGACCAAGGTATACAGTTTCGAATGATACTGTCCGGTAAGGGCAGTACGTACCGGTCTGACAGTAAGTCGGTACACGGATCG